CCCTGTCCAATCACTTTGGTAACTCCGCATACGTCGGCCATGGTATGGTTCTCCCTGAAGTTCAATGGATAGTCTTATGATTATTCCAGGACCATCAATTGCAAGAACGAGCACTCTGACTCTCAGGGGCCTCGTGCGAGTCATCGAAGAAGAGATCCAACTCCACGATGGTCCCATCACAGCGGAGACGAAGAACGCCATCCATCATGCCCTGGCCGCCTTCGACGGCAACATGAACGATCTCCAGCCCTTTGTCCACTTTGATCGGACGCGAAACTACACGCGCAACCTCGTGGCCACCGACAACGTGTCCTATTCGCTCATCATGCTGTGCTGGAACAAGGGCAAGTACAGCCCATTCACGACCACCCGTCCGATGGCTGCTGGATTCGACACATCCAGGGAATCGTCAACGAAGTTCACTACGAAAGCGACGGCGAGGCGCTCGTGGAGTCGGCGAACGCGCTCATTTCTCACGGCGTGTCGTACATGGACGACTCGCTGGGTCTGCACAAAGTGGGCAACCCCAGCGAAGACGTCGACGCGATCACATTGCACTTGTACGCGCCACCGTTTGACCAGTGCCGACTGTGGCACGACACCCCGGACGCGACCAACGCTACCATTGGGCATTGTAGATATGACTCTGAATACGGGAATTATTAGAGGCATCATATATCTAACGTCGTCGCTGATCTTGTGGCATCATAGTCTCCAATGTGCTACTTACGATTCGACTCGTTGTTGAATGCAAAGCTCATAATCAGGGGAAATTCAGTTGACCTGGGTGTTTGCTCCTTGTCTGAGTGAAGCTACTGTTGTTGTTAGTCTACAGTTCATCACATATTGAGGCATGCTCTTGTTGCAATACAATACGTACTGCAGAAACACACAACCGCCTACCCATAACAGTATGATGTCGCGTACTCCAGATTATCTAGTCGCTGTAACGTTGGGTCGCAACAAATATTAAATTACTGAGCTTGACCTCTCCACGCAAACTACACTGGTCGATTTCCAAACATGGTGTCGTAGGTGGCGATGGCTGTGGTAGCGTTGGTCGCATCCTGGGGGTCGTGCCACAGTCGGCACTGGTCAAACGGTGGCGCGTACAAGTGCAATGTGATCGCGTCGACGTCTTCGCTGGGGTTGCCCACTTTGTGCAGACCCAGCGAGTCGTCCATGTACGACACGCCGTGAGAAATGAGCGCGTTCGCCGACTCCACGAGCGCCTCGCCGTCGCTTTCGTAGTGAACTTCGTTGACGATTCCCTGGATGTGTCGAATCCAGCAGCCATCGGACGGGTGGTCGTGAATGGGCTGTACTTGCCCTTGTTCCAGCACAGCATGATGAGCGAATAGGACACGTTGTCGGTGGCCACGAGGTTGCGCGTGTAGTTTCGCGTCCGATCAAAGTGGACAAAGGGCTGGAGATCGTTCATGTTGCCGTCGAAGGCGGCCAGGGCATGATGGATGGCGTTCTTCGTCTCCGCTGTGATGGGACCATCGTGGAGTTGGATCTCTTCTTCGATGACTCGCACGAGGCCCCTGAGAGTCAGAGTGCTCGTTCTTGCAATTGATGGTCCTGGAATAATCATAAGACTATCCATTGAACTTCAGGGAGAACCATACCATGGCCGACGTATGCGGAGTTACCAAAGTGATTGGACAGGGGTTTGACGACTATTGTCACGATCTGGTCGATTGTCGCAATTTCTTTCGCGTCATGTTGGAAGTGGACTTCTGGTGGACACTCCTTCGAACTCAGATGAAATGAAATCGCCTGACGCTCGTGGCGTGTGTCCGACGGGTGAAGGGATTGAGCTGGAGCTCCCCGCGCGTTGGTGCACCGTGGAAGCATGAAGTCGTGTTCAATGACGGATCTGTTGAATGTACGAGGGTTGTCGAATGGATGCTAAGCTTATAAGCCAATCTGTGGACTACGTAGTAGGCCGCATTTTGAAGGGTGCTCGCACATTCGCAATTAAGAGGGATTTCAATTTGACCATCGTACTTCGAATTGTTTCTGGGTTCTCTCTCAGGGGATTTTATTGTAGACGATACTGGGAAATACCCTTCAATTGATTTGCTAATATTACAGGGACTTATTTCTACATGCAAAAGTGTCCACAACCATTTACACATGCCCAATGCAACGTCCAGTGGCGGATTGTGGTTAGCAATGCTATTCTGCAACGAGTAAATACTGCATCCTTTGATAGAACTCGCGGATGCTTGAACGTGTAACGTAAAGAAGACCAAGACTTCGAGTTTGCCGTTGCTCAGAGCTTGAAACGCGCGATTACTAACTTCAAGTTCTTTCGGCCGTTCTGCTCGATACTCCGGAGTCCGAGCGGAACTGTAGTACAAGTCTGTTCGAACGGCCAACAAAAGTGAAACGGACGCCTTCATCAAGAGGTCAAAGTACTCCATTTGGTTATCCATCGCCGGCGTCGCATTGCTCTCCATCGCAAGACGAGATGATCAGTCGCTCTAACGTCTCGCGCGATGGTCACATGATTGTACAAGATGCCCCACACCCACGAGATGAGCATCACACCGTGAAAACGACCAATAGTGCCCAGCAGGCCAAGGCCCCCGCGCTGCCACGCAAGGTCCTCACCCTCCAGGAGCTTGTCGAGGTCATAGACATGGAAACGCAGTTGAACGATGGTATTGCCTTGCACAAGAAGGACGACATCAAGCAAGCCCTTGTCGACTTCGACGGCAACATGGACGTCCTCCAACGATACGCCAAGTTCGACCCGACTCGCAACTATACGCGCAACCTAATTTCCACCGACAACACCTCGTACGCACTCATGCTGCTGTGTTGGAACCGAGGCAAGTACAGCCCCATCCACGACCACCCGTCCGACGGGTGCTGGGTGCGCCATATCCAAGGCACGCTCAACGAAGTGCGGTACTGGAACAACGGCGAAACACTCGTTGAAACCTCCAACATCGTCATCACCAGCGGTGTCTCGTACATGGACGACTCGCTGGGCCTGCACAAAATTGGCAACCCCAGCCAAGACGTCGATGCGATCACTTTGCACTTGTACTCACCACCATATGAAAAGTGCCGACTCTGGCTCGACCCGTGTGACGCCACCAAGTCGTCCACCGCCGTGGCCAATTTCTATTCAGAGTACGGGGAGCGAACCCAAGGGTAAACTGCATTCCTAGTCGTGAGAGGAGGTTGTATAAGGTGATTCATGTATTTTCCGCCCAGTTGGCAGCCAATCACAATCATCGAACTTGATGAGTGAGAATACTTCGTAACGTTAACGTTAAGAGCATCCTGGTACGCTACATTAGACAGATTTCGCAAACGCCAGAACTATTCTATCCGCAACCTAAAATTTAGAACCCGGATAGGTTGCAACCTTGTGCGTTGCGAACTTCGCAAATCATCCGTGTTCAGAGCGACGTCCTTCTACCACAAATGACATACTCATGAGACTCTAATGCGATTCACCTCGCCATCCCAGGCTGTCACCATGGATGCATGATCAAACAAAACACAAGCGCATCCGGTTACACTAGAAAATCCACCATTTATGCGGATACAGCAAATGAGGAATCCGCTGCAAAATTGGCAAATTTTACAGCGGCTTTAATTATTTATAACAGGTTCAGTTCTATCCTTATCGAATTTGAGAGGATAGGTTGCGGTTAAAATAGAACTGACGTTTGCGAAATCTGTCTATTGTATTTTACAGTTCTATCCGGATTATTTACAGTTTTGACAACCCCACCGGGCGATTCATGTAATTTCAGCCCAGTTGGCAGCCAATGATATCATCGAACGAAGATGATTGGATAAAATAAGGTAATCAGGTAAATAATACCTTTAGCATTTAATATTTGATTTCTTTGACAACTCATGTAATCTCATAATTGCAATAACATATAAATTGAATACCTTTTACACTTAATAAGGATTACTATTAAGAGGTTCTGAGAATTTCGGTGGTCAAATCTGTCATACATTACCAAGGTATTCAAGTCAAAACACCTGGGCGGAATTTACATTAGGGGGGAGTCAATATAGAAACCAAACTGCTTTTCGTTTTGAAAACTGCTTTTCGCGTTTTGCTTTTCGTGACGAAAAGCAAAAGCACCTCGCGAGTAGCTTTTCAAAAACGAAAAGTGAAAAGCAGAATGTAAGCCAATCGGCGTGAAGATAGTGATAGCCAATCAAGATGCACATAACTACTAGTCGGTTGCAAAGTCCAAAACACAGCTATGGAGAGGTCGAAGCGCGCCGCAACCTCACGGTCGGAGCGTATGGCGATGCTCGAGTTTCTGCGCATACCCGAGAACTTTGCGCTGCTGACTGGGCAGGCCACCAAAGGCAAACCAATGAAAGGAGGTCAAAAGCTGACTCGGTCCCATGGCCTGGTAAGGCTTGCGGAGTACGTAAACGCGGTTGTGGCAGCTGTGCGTCCGTGGACGACACAGGATGGTAAATCAAGGTACATCTCGATGTATTCAATCGACATTAAACTAAATACGCCTTAGATACGACGCGTACGTGGCATCATACCGCCGGGCACTACGATGGAGCGGGCCAAGCAAGAGTGGGCGAGGCTTGACTGACAAGGACTTCAAAAAGAGTATATATTTGAACACGATATGCTTCCGTTCTGATATAATGTAGAGATCTATCTACACCATCGAGAGCAAATTGGAGAGCATTTGTCCATTCTACAACGAGATAAATGCACTTTTTGGGGCGCGGCAAAACTTTCGACCGTCGCACATTGTAGAAACGAGTTATGTGCAAGGTGAAAATATGGAAATACTGAATCAAACAATGATAATTTACTGCAACCCCGCAACCATGTAGAAGATTCGAATAAGAACGAGTACGCTTCATCGGATGGCCTAAACTGCGACGATGGCGAAACAAATGACCATGAAGACGTTGACGACGCACATTTCGGCCACCACCCCATGCACACAAGCAACCAAGACGACTGAAAAGCCCACGACCCCGACCATGATGCGTACTGGGCAGAGACCGATGTGGAGGACCCCATCCGCCCCACAGACACCCCAGACAACCCACCGCGGCCCGTCGGCACACCAGTAGCTCTCCCATTGCCATGCTCACATACCACACGGAGGCTTGTATGTGCAGTGTTGAATGCGTCGTTGCCGCTTTCGGCGGCGTAGGGGAGCCGGTAGGGCGTGAGCATGCGCAAACACAAAGCGAAGCCAGAGTTGCCGGCTTTGTATTGGTTGGCATCGAAGAAGCTGTCCGGGTGGCGAGCAGGGGAAGACGAGGCCCAAACTGTAGAATCATGCACGCTGCCAGGCCAACCCGCGACGACATGACGGATCTGACGGTTGTAGTCAAAAGTCAAAAGAACATTCATTGAATATTGCTTTTTTCTGCTGTAATACACCTCACCATGGAGAGCTGACTTTCGGTATAATACAATATGTGTGCCAACAGTTGACAGAATACAGTTACGAAATCCATATCGCTCTGCATTGTACTGGCAAAGTTGGCTACGCTCAGCGCGATTAGGCCACATTATTTCGGAACTAGATAAAAAGAGAAGAGCACATATACACTTTATTTCGGAACTAGATAAAAAGAGAATAGCACATATAACACGCCGAGTGTACAAATGCACAGTTCCCATTCCAATTCCTTTTGCACGTGACACCATCCCAGCCGACGAACCAGTGCCGTTGTGGCCAAATCGAAGCAATTCACATGCAAGCTGGACCCACACAGGTCTCTGAGATCGGTTACTGGTCGGTGAAAGACATTGTTCCCCTCAATCAACTCAACCATATATGCAAATGTAGTCTGACAAACACGGACCTCCTGAACAAAGTCGCCAAAAGCCATGAAGGGCAGAATCGAAAGTTCGAAAGTTGCTCTAAGGAGCGTGGAATCCACCCACGTGCAAACATGTATCGCGAACATAGAATAGTGTATCGCAGTCGAAGTAGCACATCAATGTCTTTCTTAGCCGCATGTGAAGCAGAAGTATTGTATGTTGCAATTGTCCGTACCATGCTGTCCAAGTCGGCAAGGACGGCCGCGCGCTCTGAGAGCTGTGGCATTTTTGCCGATGCAAATATACGGATACGGATGGCACAAGCACAAGTGATTGTTGGCCTATTATTAAAATACGGATGAATAAAAATTTCCTTTTCAAAGTGAACGAAAAGCAAAAGCAAAACCAGAAATCCTATATTGACTCCCCCTATTTACATAGGAAAATTACAGAAATGAAAAATTCGTCGAGCAAAAAGGACAAACGATACAACGATGGGTCCTGCATAAACCAATAAAGCTCCTCATGACCTTGAGAATGCATGTTTTTGCAGCATTATCACACACACGGGTGATGAGTTACGAGACTTCAAAAGTACGACAAGCTGGGCGGAAATTGCATGAAACACCTTAACGTTATAGTGATGTTGCACAGGATAAAGCTTACACGTACAGTGGATCCCCGGATTTTGCAGCTCGTATAAATTAATATCCTGAGCAACTTCTATAAATATTCATTGTTAACATGAGATTGAAGAATCGATAAATTGAAATTCAAAGCGTTTAGCCAACCCGGCGCCAATATGGTTTCGTCATTTCGACCCCACATACGTGCCCACCACGACCTCATTACCGCACCAATGTCATTAGATTTACTTCTCACAAGCTAGATATTGTGTACTTCTAATGTGACAATTATACAAGTGTACTGTACTGTACTAGATTTCAATACGTATTTATTTAGTATAACTACTCAGGGTATTTATCGAAAGGTGATGGGTATTTGTCGTTGGAATGTTATACAATATTCACCAAAGGTTAGATAATTATCCTATAAAGTCAACAAACACCGGGTGTATGGTGTGACGAACTTATCCCAAAACCCATTACCTTTGTGTATACTTACTTACAAAGCTGTATTTCACCCATGCTGCAAAAACCGGGGATCCACTGTAGAAGAGAGAAAGCCTAGTTAACATTGCGAAATGCCTTCTTTTATACTCGTATTGCAAGGTGTGAATTGAAGGTCACACGTAGAAGAGAGTACTGTAAGTTAATATCCTAGCGGGTTGACCGTGCGAAATGTTTATACATTCTTATTGCAAGGTACTTCGAAGTATGTACAAATATACTACTATTAATAGTACTACTATCAAACACTCCTACTATTAGTATTAATAGTACTCTTAATAGGGAGATGTCGGAGATTGCTGGTCTGGATGCCACGACATTATGTCAGAAATCGGCTATTTTGCCAGGAAAATGATTGAATGTCAAAACACTGGAATTCTTTAAACAAGGTCGCCTCAGCAATCAGTTTTTATAACGTGACTTTGGGTACAGCACTCGGAGAAAAAAGAAACACACGTGTGTGAAAGTAGTTTTCGGAAAGTCACTTGTACCTAGATTTCTACGAATAAATACGAAAGGGATCAGAAGTTGTACAATATAATATGATACCGAACGTTACAGTAGTTATTATTGTTGAAACCGTCGAGTAGTATTACGGTTCAAACTCTTTGGGCCCAGGAATCGTCTGGTACGATGAGCGCTTGAGTGCCCTGTGTACCACGCCCACAACGACTGCTACGACGACAATCACCACAGCCCACAGCACAAGCGACCACATCCACGAGATTCTATCGAGAAATATAAATAAAATACACAGGAAAATAAATATTTGAAGTGGAGGCTACGTATCTACCTTTGGAACGGGTGCAACCAGTGTGGAATGCCAATGCGCTCCGCAGATCGTTCATCCAGACATTCCCGGTACTGTAGCACCGTGCTGAACCAGGTTTGAGTGCATAACACCTTGTCGAGGCAGGCGGACGTGGTGCACGGCGGCAGGCGCGTCGAGTCGGCTTTGGAATGCCGGTAGTACTCGTGCAACAGCTCATCGTCTGCCTTCATGCTAGTTTCATAACAATAAAATACATCGTCAATATTACTGGTAGAAACACTAAATTAAACTATGAAAATATACCGATGGGTGAGTGCACGTAGAGACTCGCTCGACAGCGACGGAAGGCCGTACGCTCTGCATATTTGCATGATTAATACCCATAGAGTGTACTTCATAGGGAATCCAACACACTTACGCTTTCGCGGAGAATATCTTTGTCCATTCTAGTGCCTACATTAGTTGGTCATGAGTTAGTTGACGAGATTGCAGGTCAGTTTGCCATACGTTAGAGTCTCCCGAGGTTGAAAAATTGGTGGCGTACACGGCATAGTCTTCCACATCAAAGGTATCGGCATTGTAGCTCCAAATCTAATATCCACAAGCACATAAATTGTAGACGATGCGAATATATATATATATATATATATGACGAAAATAGGACCGTGAACGAAGGGCTGTTGCCAAACAATGGTGAGATCGCGCCCGACGCAAAGAGGGGCACGCCAGGCTTGCCATTGGCTGGCACACTAGACAATATATTTCACATATATATTTCAAATCATTCATAGTATATACAATATTATGTGCGATCATGTCTAGGCTTGTCGTACCGGTACTCTATCGAATGTACATGGCCAAAGAACTAGAAGCCACGGCGTCACCTTGTCAGGATGGACTACGTAGGTTCGAACGATGTACCTGGGCTTTGATAATGTTTGGAAAGGCTTCAACGATAGCTTGGTACGTTAACATGTACTTCAATTCCCACTGCGATTCACCACCATACGAGTCGACGATGGGTGGGATGTGGCCCACAATGTACGCGTACGAGCCGTTGGTTTGCACTTCCACGAGCGTTCGCCGCAGCCACTCGAATTGATTGAAGGGATCGTCCAAGTATTTGGTATCTGGCTTGTGTTTGACCTACGTGGCAGCCCCCCAAGTGACGACATCACCAGCGAAAGCATGTTGGGTCGTACCGAGTAGGGCACCGTGTTGAGGGAGATCACGACCAACTTGGGCTCGATCTGGTACCACAGGTACCCCCGAGAGTCGAATGCTTCAAAGTGTGACGGGCTCAACGCTTGCTTCCACGGCGCGTCCACCATGCCAATGGTCGGGTTCGTGCCGCCTTTCTCGGGGTCCGTAACGTAAAACTCATAATCGTGGACTACAACATATGCACTACAAGTGAGGACATGTACAAATGCATGGGTTGGTCGTGGCCGTACGACAGTCGGCATTGCCTAGGATGGCCGTGACGTTCTTGACGTGAAAGTACTCTTGCACCATGGAAAACCCGGTTTGGACGGTCTTGGCGAGGACAGATTCGTTGTGGTCAATGTGAGCGACGGCATCACCCGTGTACAAGAGGAGGTCCGGGTCATGTAGCACACTGCGTGCGTACGACAGCGCTGACTCCAACAGCCTAACGCACGTCGAGAGGAAGTGAAGTGGGCGTGGAATGATCAATGTACCGCGGACTCGAGTCGAAGCCGTAATTCATTTCGTCCAGCGTGAGGTTGAGGTGCACGTCCGAAATGTGCAAGATCGTCTTGGCCTGGGCTGACCACGCGGCGAGACCCGCAGTCACGGCGCCCCTAATGCCTCTCATGATGGTGGACTTCGGAGGACTCGGTTCCTTTGACGAATCAAGTAGCCAATCAAAGAGGAGAGAATGCTTGGATTGGCTTAAATCGTCATTCGATTGGCGTACCATAGAGGTGACAATGATATAAGGTAACGCATCAATCATCCGAACGGTTTTTGAAGCAGATTTTGTCGAATTTTTAAAGTCTGAGTGCTTGCGATTACCATCTTATTATATTGATCTTTTAGCATAGAAAGAAAATATAATTCAAGCGCTATATTTTACATATGAAGCAACTGCGATTTGGCATGATTTGATATTTGTAGGCAAATTAATATGACGAAACAAAAGCATGATGAATTTTAACGTGCACATATTCCCCGAACGGTTTCAAACATGAGGAGATTTGTATATATTGAATTATAATACGAATTAAAATTCGATTCAATATAATACTGGCATTCTCCACTGGATTCAAAGCAGTATTAATTAAATTTGGATCAAATTTAAAAACAACGAGTAAAAAAATTCACTTCGCTTTTGCCATTTCGCTGGGGCCGCATGAAGGTGGAATGCCACTCACCGTTGGTCTTGACGCGTTTGCGCACAACCGGCTTCGCAGGTAAGAGCAGAATGTCTTCGCGTACCCCTTGTCTTGATACACGATCCCGTGCCAATGGCGTCCTTGATTCCATTCGCTTTTTACATGTACATGCGAGAGAACATACGAGGCAACGACATCGCCCACACACCACAGGTACGAAATCAATTTTGAACCAATTGGGGGTCTTACTGCTCACCGTTGGTTTGGAAAGGTCAACAAACGTCGAAGCGATGGCAATCGCCTTCGACCGAGGCAACATCCACGAGCTCGACGCCCGTACCCACAGTCAAGTATATGCTGCTAATCATTACTAGTACTTCGTATTAATTTAGTTTGGCGTGATTATAATTGGTTGGGTTTTCGTTTGAACTCCAAGTATATAATTACTGCCATGAATATTATCACTACCAATCAGTGATGTTAACGCCAAATTAGAGAAATCTGATTGGATAAAACTCAAATCGTTCGGAAGTTTCATGCCGTTCGGAAGATTGATGCACTACCTTACTTCGAATTATTTACAGTGTTACTACCTCCAGAGGGAAATAAACCCGCCACTTCGAAATCGTTGAAGGCCGGAAATAAACCCGCCACACGAGAGCCCCCACAAATATAATAAATATGAAGACAAATACATACATTACTTGTCTTCATATTTATTATACATTAATTAATACTGCAGTTCAATACTCAAAGCTATATAAAAATGAATTTAGACGCAGAACCAACACTCCTACTCGTCAGCGTCGTCCACATCGATCCCGACTTTTTCGAGCGCTGTCAATATGTCGCTCATTTCCAAGTCCGTGGCAGTTTGGAGGGACAGCTCACGCGTCACCAACGCCATGTCTTGGTCAGCAAGCAAGCCGTGGCCAGTTTCGAAGACGTCTTCACTGCACATCACCGACTCGGGTAGCT